TCGACCAACAATTATTTCATAAATATTATATTTTGTTTTTAATTTAAACTGATGAGAAAGGTCAATAATTTAATTTTTAGTTTTTTATTTGAATTAACTGAAATATACAATATTTTATTCTTAAAATGAATTTAAATTTAAGACTAAAGTGCAATGTTTAGCAAAAAACTTTTATTGAAAGGTTTCAAATATTTACTAAAAAGAAGTTAAAAAATTTAAGTCTTGATGTTCCGCACTTTGTCACGAAAATTATACGAAGATTCGTAAAAGCATTTGATTCCAGATTCTTGGATTTCTAAAATAATTCATAAACATTATATTTCTGCTTTGAATTGCGCAAAATCTATTTGTAAACTATAAAGCCAAAATCTCTCACGGGAAGAAAATAATTTAATTTTTAAGACATTTATTAACCACTAATACAATTATACAACCTTTTGATTCAAAAAATAAACTGAAATTTAAGGCAAACCAGGCTTGCACTATTAAATTAAATACAATGTTTAGAAGAAAAAAAAACTAGCCTTTGATGGCGTCATATCTTTATTAAAAAAGAAGGTGAAAAATAATAAAGTCTTGACGTTTCTCACTTTGTCACGAAGATTATACCCTCTTAATAGGATTTGCTTCTAGGTCATCGTATAAAGAATTTCTTTAATGGCTGCTCTTTGATGAATGTTGGCCCAGACGAGGGTGGAGGCATCGGATTTATTTGCGCCTAGTCCTAATGAAGCCCCTATTAATGTCCTTAATAACAGCGGCGAAAGTCTGTAAGGCTGACCGCATTTATTCTCATTAGCATTCGAGCGACAGCCATTCGATACCATTACTTGTTTGAAACCATTAATCCTTAAAGCGAAATGCTCACATTCATTCTTGTTTAAATCTCCGCAGTCTGGCTTCAAAACTCCTTTTTTAATTCTATTTATTTAGTCTTGGTTTTTAAATGTCGGCAAAAGATGAATTTTCTTACCTTTTATTTTTAGAAGTTTGGTTTAAAATGGATTCTGCTTTCAACTGACCTTTACAAAGCGTAAATTAATACTAACGATGTATTTTAATAAATATTTTTTGGAGGTGTTCGGCAATAAGGAAACAGGATGAGTGCTGTTGTCTTGAAGTTAAGTTAATGTTTAAAGTAAGAAAAGATCTTGACCTTAAGAGTTATGAATAGTTTTGTCTGGAAACAACATTTTGAAAAAAATAATTTATCAAATAAGTTTGGTAAGAGTAAAAATGGTGTTGCTTCACGTTTTGTTTCGATAAATCTTCCTTGTATGTATAAATTAGAGCTTTAAAAAAATCTATGTATCATTAAAAATATCGATATTTTTTAAACACCCTGATAAATAAAAGTAAAAAAGAATCCTTTACAAAAATATTTTTGAAGGTTTATGTCTTACTATGAATCTTTAATGTACGATAATTATCGAAAATGATAATATCGAGGTAACGATAAACATTGAATAGGGTAACCTCAGGAGTAACCATAGGGCATTCCTCTATAATGCTAATTATGGAATAGGATAATATCAAAATAATTATAGACAACGATAATTATCAATAACGATAGTATCGTGAGTAATATCGAAAGCGATAATTAAGAATGCTCATAAGTTTCGTTAGGGCAACGAAAATATTTATCAATAAAAAAAAATTGGAAAAATATCATTAAGTACCTTGAATATCTGTATATCCAGACAAAATATCGAAAGATATTGAAATTCCGATATAACAACTTTGCCCAGAGTTACCATAAATCTAACATACGGGAACATAAATAAAAAGTTAATTTTTGAAGTACAGTTTTGATGAAAATATTAATTCACGTTAATCAGCCGCACCAGCTCTAAGCATTGCAAGACTTGTGCTGCCATCATTCACGTTTATCAGGTAACGAATTTTAAAGGTAATCTGGGTTTTTTTTCTCTCCCCTATTTTTTATCATTGTAGTTGATGTTTTTATTTAAACGAATGACTTCAAAATTATTAATTTTATGGGAATACCCTTTCCGATTTGCTTTACGATTTTTAGTTTAAAAACAAATTCATTCCAAAACGTCGTATGTCATAAAAACAAAACCCGACAAGCATGTTAATTTAAGTTTCATCATGAATGCATCTTACATAAATAAATAAATATATAAAAGCCAAACTGGTCATCAATTTAAATTCTAGTCTTAAAATGAAATTAAAGACAAGAGGATTAAATTACGTTAATGGTGTTTAAAATATGACGTAACCTAACAAATTTATCAAATTATTTTTGCTCGGTCGCATTTTTCCTTCCCACGTTTTGGAGGAGGCTTTTTCGTTATTTATTCATTTAGAACTCCATTAAAAAAACGCTGTGAAGTCATTTCCTGCAATGGAGCATCCGTAAAATGTCACCACGCTTTCTTCAGTGAAAGATAGCAAACACACTGAATAAAATCGTGACGGTGGAAAGAATACGAAGGAAGATGGGGAAAAAACTCATTCCCAAACTATTTCCTGAAAACGAAAGCTGCATTATTGAGTCAAGAAATCTGATCATTCCACTACATTTTCTAAATTCTAGTACTTTTCTTATCAATACAAGATTGTACGTTGAAATAAAAAAAGAAGTAAAATAAATGTTTCTAAACTCAAAAAGACTAAAAATGAATTTTTTATATGCAAAGAACTCAATGAGAGGAAGAAAGGGCAAAAGAAATTTATTTTTCATTATACGCCAGCTGTTGAGCCCCTCAACTCCAATCTGCAAACGACCCATACATCATCGTTTGGGAGACATTTAAGAAAAAAAAAAATCGTTTGCTGCTTAATTTCAGATTTTGTGGTTAAGCTTACTTCAGAGAAAGATTGTTGGAAGACATTCAAGTTAGTTTTTATTTGCTTTAAAAATGCGAAGAAAAATGGTATTACGGATTTCCGGTAAAACAAAAAGACGTCATTTTTACACCGGATAAACTACAGTAACAAACAATGATTTTTTGAAATTTTGATATTCCACTTCCATGAAAGATGACATATGTGCAAAAGTCAGACTTGGAAGTTAAACTTACTTCGTATAAAGATTGCAAAAAGACATTTTTTTTTGTTGCATAACAAAATTAAGAAAAAATGGTGTTAAAGATTTCCGTTGAAATAAAAAAACATCACTTTTACACTGAATTAATTATATTAACAAATAATAACTGATTAGAATTGTTATTTGGTATTTTCATGAAGAAAATATTTCCCAAAAATATAGTTAGCGCTTTTTATGGTTAAGCCTAACATATTTCACATAAGGATTGTTGGGAGACATCCTAGCTAGTTTTATTTGCTTAAAAACATAAGTTTTACTTCAGAACTTAGGGTTAAGCCTAACATATTTCACATAAAGATTGTTGGAAGACATCCTAGCTAGTTTTATTTGCTTAAAAACATAAGTTTTACACAGAACTTTAGGGTTAGGCAAACTTCAAGCAAAGATTGTTGGGAAATATCTTAGTTTATATTTGCGTAAAAGTGTGTGGAAAAATGCAAAATTAAGAATTTTGGTTAAGCAAATGATAATCGTATACATAACATTAAAAACGATAAATTGTATAAATTAAATTAACCAACTAAAATTGATTGGAACTATTATTTTTAATTTATATAGTAGATAATATTTACGTTTAATTTCAAATTTTGTCGTTAAACCTCGTTTGCATAAAAAATGTTAGGAGACACAAAATTTGTTTTTTGTTGCATAACAAAATGAAGAAATAGTGGTGTTTTGCACTTCCGGTGAAATAAACGATTTCTATTTTTCGTAAGATAAATTACGTTAATAAATAAAAATTGGTTAGAGTCATTATTTCCCATTTAAAACAGGAAATTTTTTAAAAAAATTACAAGATTAATGACCGATATCAGATTATTTTTGCTTACAGCAAAATATAAAATAAGTGACATAAGATATTTCTGGCATTTAAAAAATAGCTTGCATTTGCAGACATAGTTGTTTGAAGATGTTATTTTCTATTCTTATATCTGGATCTACAATCCACGCTTTTTTCTTAAGACAATGTTTTCCAATTTTAGATTCTAAGATTTCCGACTCAGTGTTTCAGTAAGTAGTAAAAGTCTTTCAGTAAGTAGTAAAAAGTATTTATGAAATTCTAAATATATTTGACCATTTAAAAAAATAGTACTCCCGATGATTCCTCTAACTCAATTTGAAACAATTATTACATTTCTAAGCATTCAAATACAATACAATGACACAAAACAATGAAATAGTTTAATTTAGAAAGTTTTACATAACATTTATAAAAAATTTAAGCACACACGAACGAAGAATTTGCTCATATTTAATTAGTTTTAATTCTACAAATATACTTGAGTATAACAGAATACAAGAAATGAAAAATTTACATAAAATTACAAACCAGGTGAAGATTGTGTTTTCACAAATTTAAATATATTGAATTTAGAGCTGACATATCATGCACGAAAAATTATTTCATACATAAAAAATTACTAACTAGGCGAAGATATTTTCCCCCAGAGATTAAAAACAGTGAACTTAGATTTCACATATTATGCACACAAGTATAATAAAACTTGAACTAGATCCATCAACACTGATTACAGGCCTTTTGGTAATTCATTTAATTTATCAGTTTCATACATTAGAATTGCGACTAGAGAAGGTAGTTTATAAGTAAAGAGTTTAAGAGCTATTTTGATGAGTTTTTTGAAAGATATAGTAAAAAAGAGCAACTGAAAAATTTAGTTCATACATATTTAATAACAACAAGGTGACTATGGTTTTTTTCACAGAGCTTGAAAACAATGAACTTAGAGCAAACGTATTATGCACGTAAGTTTAATAAAATTTGAACTAGATCTATCACAGGATCAGGCACAGGTGGATTTGTTTAATTTATTATTTTGATACATTAGAATCACGACCTGAGAAGGTAGTTTATAGATACTATTTAGATGATTTTTTCTTAAAGATATAGTAAAAAAGACAAACTTACTTCTAATCTGTCAGTTCGAGGCGCCTTCTGTGTGACAATAGGTGTGTGCACAATAGAAGTAAGTTGGGGCGGTGGAGGTGGGGCGGCCAAAGCATCTGCGGGCACCATTCCAGCAGGGATCATTGGGCTAGGGCTTAAGTATGGACTGAAAGACGAAGCCGTGTGACCTGCGATAGCCGGCATGTAAGGTGAAGTCGACGCCTACGAGAAAGAAAATTGATAAATGTAATGCATAATGAAAAAAAGGTTTGATGTACAGCTATTTAATAAAAGATGACGTTATTTATGTATTTTTTCTCTTCTTTTATGTGAACAAAAAAACGCTTTTTGCAGGTACTTTATTGGTTACAAAGACTTATTTGCAAGCAGCGTATAAGATATTTGTAAAAAGATAGAAAATTAATATAAAGTTTTATCTCTAGGTACTGTAACAGTTGACCAATTGTTTTCAATAACTGTACTCAACAAAATAAACGCTATTTTCAAATATTGCAATCGTTGTTGTTTATCTTGAATGAAATCGAAGATTTACTATTGTTAACAATGTAGCTACTTTATATATACAGAGAAAAAAGTATATCTACAACCAAAATATGATCAAATTTATCGTGTTTCTGGCTCTATGGGAACACCAAAAGACTAAAGTTTATTGTTTGTTTATTGGATTTACATACATTTGCAGGCTTGTGTGCTCAGTTTAGGCTAATAAACCTTTGTCAAATAGAAGGACGGATAGTACAATACAGAGAATGACAGCACGAAGATACATCCAGGGTAACGGCAGGATTCGAACTCGCTACCTCCACGCTTTGCACAGCTTTTGGAGGGTGATACCACTTGGCCAGAGAGAGCCCCAAGACCTTTGGTAAAATGATTTTTGTAATGACTTTTTGGTAAAAGTCAAATATTTTTTCTATTATCATGCTGTTTAGTAGTAAATGATTCAAAATGAGGTAATTTTAAGCAAAAGTCAGCAATTTCAACAGTGCAGTACACACTTTTTAACTTTGCTTTTGACCGGGATCAGTGGCGTTGTCTTGTAATACAGCTGTTTGGAGATCTAGGCTGTAGGATGGCTTGAGGTTGGGAGTTCGGTCCTCTGTTGATTTATCATTATGCAGTTTAAAGGGCGACGTAAATAAAAGAAAGAACTTAGCTTTTTGTCGGTGGTTAAATAATACATAAGGGGAAAAAATTACTACATCAAGGCTGTCCCAACATTCTAACATGGAAGCGTAGAGGTAGCTGGTTCAAATCCCAACGTACCCTTGGATGCATCTATTTATATATATTTATTTATTTATTATTATATACTCATACGTATGCTTGTGTACTCATTACAAAGCTCAGCTAATACTCAGCTAATGTGCCCTGGTCAAGATGATATACAGATAGCACAAGATAGAGAAAGGCAGTACATGCATACAACTGGGACACGGTAGGACTCGAATCAGCTACCTCCACGTTGCAATAGACGCATCTTTGTAATGTTTTCTTTTTTTCAATTAGAGCAGTTTTTTCGTAAGCTAGGATAGGACTTGTAAAGGGTGTTTTGTAATGAGCATACAAGTCTTCATATGCAAATATAACAATAAAAAACCAGTTTGTTTAGCATGCATACTGAGGATTGTGCATTCAATATAAAATTGCTTCCTAAACTTCGTTAGAATTGAGTAATAGAGATTTTCAATCAAAACAAAAAACTAGAGATGAAATAAATCTGTTTTTATTCGATTTACTGTAAGGTCAAGTGTAGAAATAATGCAAGCATATAAATATGATATCTCTAAAAAGTTTAAAATTAAGTGAAAATTGTATTGTGATCAGAAATTTTTTCTTATAATTACTTTAAATATTTTCTTGTAGAGAACTTAAGTACATCCCTGGAGTTAATAGTAGAACCAAAAAAGTTTTCATCCATTTTTATTTGCCTATTTTAAGCGAACATCAGAACAGCATACCAAACTTCAGTGAATCTATTTTTTATGCTAATAAATGTGTTATATTACACAAAAAAAGTAGTTTAAATAAATAAAAAAATTTTGATGTTATTTGATTTTTTTATTATAAACAAAAAAAGTGACAGTTTTTGCCATTGAAAAATACAGTCACAAAATTTAAACCAAATTTTCGTTTATCATACAACGCACAATTATTTAAAAATACAGAAGTAATAATAGTGACTGAAAAGAACAATATTAACTATAAATAATATATAAAAAGCTTAGTAACTAAATAATCTGAAAGTTTGGAAGATCTGAGTTATGAAATCTAATTAATCCTTAATAAAGAATTATTTTGTCCCAATTCGTCCCAATAAATGACATATATATTTATATTGAAGATTAACAGTTCCAATAGCATTTTAATAATAGTTCCAATAGCATTTTTTAAAAAAATATATAAAATGAATCGCACATTAAAAACCATATCTATAAGTAACATATTGTTCACTAGTAAATGTTATGTTTATGACAGTTGGAAATACTTGTTACAAACTGGTTAGCTTCACAAAAATCGCTGGATCAAAAATCAGTAAGTCCAAGTACCCATAATTAAACTCATTAAAGTACATAGTATCTAAAGGAACGTAGAAAAAAGCAATATTGATTTTGTATACAATTATGCTTTTAAATAATCCGAAATAAAATATAATAATCCGAAATAAAATGAATAGAAAATTTTTATTAACCGTAACTAAAACCATTTTTACATATATAATTCCATTATAATTTATCCAACATACACGTTCAACTTCTGTAATGTCTTGTGGCAAAATAACAATTTTTGTGGATAACTGTTTCAAATTAACTACTCACTTTATTAGGAATTTCGCAATCCTTTCGTATTGAGACATTAAAACCCTTTCATCTCTTAATTATTCAAAATAAAACAAATATTGTTATTCAAAACTAATTGAAACTAAGCATAGCTATATGATATTATGACAGTTGAATACCCGAACAATTTCACAATTTCAAAAAATGTACATCAAAATTGATTACTCATCATATTAGGAATTTCGTAATACTTTCTTATTGGGACATTAAAACCCTTTCCTCTTTTAATTATTCAAAATAAAGCAAATATTGTTATTCAAAACTAATTGAAACTAAACATAGCTATATGATATTATGACAGTTGAATACCCTAACAATTTCACAATTTCAAAAAATGCATATCAAAATTGATTACTCATCATATTAGGAATTTCGTGATACTTTCTTATTGGGACATTAAAACCCTTTTATCTTTTAATTATTCAAAATAAAACAAATATTGTTATTCAAAACTAATTGAAACTAAACATAGCTATATGATATTATGACAGTTGAATACCCTAACAATTTCACAATTTCAAAAAATGCATATCAAAATTGATTACTCATCATATTAGGAATTTCGTGATACTTTCTTATTGGGACATTAAAACCCTTTTATCTTTTAATTATTCAAAATAAAACAAATATTGTTATTCAAAACTAATTGAAACTAAACATAGCTATATGATATTATGACAGTTGAATACCCTAACAATTTCACAATTTCAAAAAATGCATATCAAAATTGATTACTCATCATATTAGGAATTTCGTGATACTTTCTTATTGGGACATTAAAACCCTTTTATCTTTTAATTATTCAAAATAAAACAAATATTGTTATTCAAAACTAATTGAAACTAAACATAGCTATATGATATTATGACAGTTGAATACCCTAACAATTTCACAATTTCAAAAAATGCATATCAAAATTGATTACTCATCATATTAGGAATTTCGTGATACTTTCTTATTGGGACATTAAAACCCTTTTATCTTTTAATTATTCAAAATAAAACAAATATTGTTATTCAAAACTAATTGAAACTAAACATAGCTATATGATATTATGACAGTTGAATACCCTAACAATTTCACAATTTCAAAAAATG